CCGTTCCCATTCCTACCAACTTTAGACGGGCCCAGCTATGAAGGGAAGCAGAGGCTGGAAGTAGTGTAAATCAGTTACAAGATTAAGAACATACAAACCCCATCCATTATCGTTTAATTCCTGCCCAATGAGAGACCAAAAGGCATGAGTCATATTGAAAGGAAAGCTGACGAATCCAGCAGCTCTCCTCTTGTGCTGACGCCTGTCCCAATGCCTAATAGTGTAGTGTGTCCTCCAGCCCCTGTGAAAGGAAAAAAACAAGGAGATAATCAGGAACATCAGGGGCATTCAATTACAGCAAAACAAGTGAAGCAACTGCGTAAAAGTTGGACAAAGTTGTCCACCAAGGTTGATGAAAATTGAGCAGTACTGAGTGCACAAAAGTATAGTGCAACTCTGGATGTCAAAAGGTATTTTGATGACATCCTAGTCACTGTACATGACTCGACAAACCATGCGGTGAAAGGCGCGCATCGGGACAGTGTCTTTGGTGACACTGAACGACTGAAGCAGGTCTGGCAAACAGTTGGATCAGCATTCCTAGTTGTGTTGTATTTTAATCTACTAGTTTATCCATTACGCTAGACAAGGAAATTTGCTGAATTGACCTACCACGTATACACCTGGGCCTGTAATATTGTGTGTGCGTACATGCGGGGGAATTCTCTGCAGTTGGCAGGATTGGCAAGGGAATTGGCGAGAGTAAAAGGTCAATTGAGTTTCCTTTGGAACTCAGAACGAAGCAGGCGTGAGCAGTTTAGGGGTGAAAGCAACCAGGCCACTGAAAGGCAATCTGTGGACTACAAATTGGCTTCTGGATTTGCATATAGTCCAGTGCAGCTCCAATCGCTCTGTGCTGCCTTCGTGGGCCTCATTATAGGCAGCACATTGTTAGTAAGCTACATGTGCGTGGGGGTTTGGATTGGTCATCAGCTATAAAGTAGATTACATAATTCTGCCCGTGACTCACCAGCCATGTAAGGCAGTCACAATGATGGCCAACGTATACGTTGTTTTGGGAAAATAGTCGAATGGCTTCGATGCATTACATTGTAGGCGCGGCAGTGAAAGAGAAAATTATCTCATCTTCAGGAGCTGAGCCACAAAATGAACACAATCGGCTTGAGAATTGCGGAAGAGATTGACGTGGCTGATGCCGTTGCTGCTCGACTTCCAGGAGTGAACTCCATAACGAAATCGTAGGACAACAGACCTCAAAGACAATGGTGGCCGTGATGACAGAAATCGTTCGCATCGTGCCCCTTCTTCGTGTTTCGTTGCCGTGAACTAGCGAGACACTGAGTTGGTGGAACAACTCGCGACGGTGGCATGGGCAAAAGGCGAGACAGAGCCGACTTTCAGAAAGAGCGAATTCGGAAAAGAGTGCAGAAAGCCAAGCGTGAAAGGGTACCTAAAGAAGGGGGCCTGTGTCTTCCTTCGCACTTCTGCTGATGTGTTAGCAACCATTGCGAGTTTCCGCCCCTATCGTCAATGCTATCGTGCCTGACAGCCGGTCCGATGAAGCCGCAGATGGTCAAAATAGCAAGAGCGATTGTTCCCAGAGTGGGGAATGAGCACATGTCAGAGCGCTTGACACACGCTGGATGCGCTGCTGGCCGAGAGCTAACAACCTGTCGCTCGCCCTGGCTTTCACACAGCTTGCTCAATCCAGAAGACTCCAGACCAGCAAACAAAAGGCTTCGAAGGACTTCAAACGTTCAGGTCTGGTACGGGTTGCTTTCTGGCGTGCACTTTTGGTGACGGATATTTGCGCACAAGCAGAGAAATTTCACCATGCCCATGGGGTGTGACTGCCGAGAGCACCAGACATTGTCCCTCCAACAATAGAAGGAAACAAAAGCGTTCCATTTGTAGCTTCTTTCTGCACTCAACACATATTGCCTTGTTTGGATCAGTGAACTGCAGGGCTTTGTGCTATTGCAGGATTCTCTCCAGCAAAAAGGGAACATGATGGATTCAACAGCAGTAAAGTGAGGAAGGAGGCAAATCAGGACGACAGGTAGACAAAGGGGATTGTTCCATGTTGCTGTCGACCATTCTATCCTTGTTTCCTTAAATAATCGATTACCAGCATCCTCCACAACTGGATTGTTTGCAATCCTGAGCTGCGTTGAAGTAAATGAGCCTGCACTTGCTTCATGGCACAGGGTGCTATGCAAGAGGATGAAGAGCTGGCACACAAGATCAGAGGCCCAAGAAGATGACGACATGGCAGTATGTGCATTCAATACGCAAGATAGAGACCACTTAAAGAAATGCAATTCAATCTGTCCTCTACGTTGTCTGTGACCAAGGGCTCAGTCGCAAGCATAGCAACAGCCCATGCTGTGTTCTACCAGTGCCAAAACAGACAAGAAAGCGAACAATACCAGTGCTCTGCATAGACATGCCATCATCATTGCAGCATGCAACAATCCCCCCTCCCGCCCTGCAACAGCTCTAATCCATAAGGATATTGTTATTCTCTTGTTGTTCGCTCCCCTGGAGCTGCACCTGTTCTGTGTCCTGCATGGGGTAAGAGTAGCCATTGGACCAAAAGCGCACAGGTCATGGAGCCAATTGCCTTGCGACAGTGCACTGCTTGCTTGCTTGCCTTGCAGTCGTGCTTGCGAGTCCCTAGGACTGGCAGTGCAGGCACCAGTTTCCTGGCAGAATGTGGAGGAACTCCAGAGCCGACCATCGTGGTCCCTCCTCAAAGATGTAAGCCAAAAATAACTCATGTTGCCATCACCAATACACCTGTAAAGGCTCAATGTCATTGCATCAGCCACAGCTGCATATTGGCACAAATGAGACTGCAATTTGGGTAGTATTTCGGTGAGACAGTCGCCATAGCATGCCAAAGCCAGCCAGAGATATCTGTGGCTTTTAAGCCATGTCGCAGGTTGTGCATTGGCACGATGATTTTTCCAGTGCTGGGCGCTTGGGAGCACACATGCAACAGGGGCTGTCTGTGTTGATGGTGAACAGCAGGAATTTGAATGAGGCAAGCCACAATTGAGCAGGCTCACAGCAATTGGTACACAGGGAACCATCAACTCAAACTGAGAATTTGTGAGGTTGTTGTGCACAATGTCATGTTCCATTGTGGGAATACCTGATTTGCAGTTTGGAAATGCTTCCTGTCAGCAATGACTTGGCAAAAACGGAAACCAAGCCCACAGAACCGACTACCATATCCACTTTTGATTGGAAATACAGTTTGGATGATGTGGTAGGATGCATTTTTGTCTTCTGCATAGCTTATCGCTGTCCTGGCTGCTGCCTTTCTGTATTTTGAATGTTGTTTGCTTCTTGTTGTTTGGGCAGCTGCAAGTTGATGTTGTCGGCTTCAATGAACGAGTGGATGCACCTCCAAAGCTAAGGCAGGCAAAAGCAAGGGCACCAGGAGGGAAAGGCCTCAAACTGCTATCGGTGCTGGAAGGATCAGCAGTACACCCAATGGAACCACCTTCAGGTATGGACATGTATTTTGTCTTCTAATCCACTGGGTCGTCATATGTGTGTACTCTGTGTATGGATGAGTTGACCTCATGTCCGCATATGTTGTGCTGTCAATTTTTCTCTCCTTTGCAGTGTTCTGTTGGCAGGCTAAGGCAGGACAGTGCAAACTCTACTGTGCCATTGCTGGCGACTCCTTCAAGCCACCTCTGTATGCACTGTCTTGCCTCCGAGCCACCATCTTTGATGGCTCGCGTCATCACAATGTGTTGCTGATCTTTCCAGTCCACCTTCTTTGATGGCTCATGTCATCACAATTTGTTGATGTTCTTTCTTTGTTCAAGGGCTCCCGTCAGTTCATGACAATTTGAATATAAGCCATTGCAATATGTGCACAACGTGAACCAAACCTGCCTTCTGGCACTCATGCCACAGGTGTCTGATGCTTACATTCGCACACTTGCAGGAGGTCCTGCCAGTGTCCATGGAGGAATGAGAAACGCAGCCATTGAAGCTTACAGAAAGCTGAAAAGCAAAACTAACACAAGCGGACGAGGTTAGTGGATTTGTCTGGAATGAATTTGTGGTTAGACTGCAGAGTGCTGTCATGTTGACAAGCCACTGCAGCTTCTGTGTCTCTGCTCGTTTGCATCTTCCCGTTTGCTGCCTGCTTGTAGTTTGGAGACTGCAGTCAGTGTGCCCAAACCGCTGGAGTGCTGACTGAACTGTGGTTTAATCATGGTCATGGATGCTGTCACAGGTAAAGCCACTATGCGCTCACTAAAGCAACTGGTTGAGAAGGGGGAGGAGCAGAGAGCACCATCTTGAGGTGCTGGCGTTGTGATGTGGAGGAGGGCAATCAATGCAACTTTCATGCATGTTAGAGGGCATCAAGTTGCAGCTCTTTTGCCAGGGTTAGTTGAGTTTTGGATGCACAGGCTTGGACAAGAACCTGAAGAATTACGAGAAGGCAACCAGCCTGGGGCTGGGAACGCAGCTGTGTAATGTATTGCAGCGATGCATAAGTGCAAATACAGGCAGGCAGGAAGCTGCGCAGCTGCTACTGACTCACGTACTCAAAAGTACGTTTAAAGTCACCACGATTGGGAGTCGGAAGAAGTGCTTTATTTCACTGCTTGCACTCTGCTATTCTTGTGCTTATCAGCTTTGGCAGCAAATGAAATGTCAAAAGTGTATTATTTGAAGACTTGTACTGGAATTTTTGCGGACTCAAGTGCACCAGTGACTGTTTTGTGGTGTTGCAACATGTTTCTTCAGGGGCTCAGTGGCAGAATATTGATAAAGATGTGGGATGTGTGCCGCATGTAATTTGGTTCTATTACTACCAACCATAATTTGTTTCTATTACTGGATCGTCAACGACCGATATTGGCCACCTTCTGAAGTGATTTCCGTGGCTTCAGAAGATACCAAAGCAAATGTCTCCACAGTAAAACATTGCTTGGTGTCAATAACTGTCTGTGCACTAATTGTAGTCGCAGTCCTCATTGCCATTCAGTGGCGATCCTGGCTCCCAAGTACACCAGGGTATACGGAAGAAGACACTGGTGTTGCAATCACAATGTATCACAGCTAAAAGTTGCCGACGCACTGGTTCAAATGTGCAGCAAACCCTTTGCTCATCAGCTTCATTTTCCATGGCTGTCAGACTAGCTGCTACCAGTGTGGGTGTGGCTCCATTGCAACCCCTGGAGCTCTGCCATTCACATACTTCGCACAATCCGACAGTTGAGCAAGAGGTGGTCGGCGAGGCAGCAAAAATACAGGCAGGATGCAGTCATGGGACAAAGTAAGTTGCCACCACAGGAACATCGAAGCCATGCAGCAAGGCACAGCAGCAGCAGTAGGTTCTGTTCGTGCCGATAAATCACCCTTTGCCCGTGCACGCACGGGTTGCCTCTGTCTCCAGCATTGTTGTGTTGTTTACTCAGATTCAACGCGAAGGCCAGTCACATGTCATGCGGCACAAAAGCACAACGGAAACATCCTTGAAAGGCTCAAGGAATAAGCGCGTGCTCTTGTACAACAGAACGAGTGCGAAACAGCGAAGTGTGTACCGATAACAACACCACGACGGTCCTCAAGGCCAAGCCCAACAGCCACCGACTCGAATTGACCACATCTGCAGAGAAGCACGGGATCTTCCGCCAGATGACTGGCCATGTAATGCGTGCTTTACCGACACACCGGGCCTTAACCAACGACAGCGCGAGCCAACGTGTCGCGGGACGCGCCTCAAAGGGGCGCATCGCGTGGATTCCAGAGGGGTCGCGGAGTGCGCCATGCACACGCGGCCTGCTGACGCCGACGCCACGTGGACCCGGATTGTGGCCTATTTGTAGGGTCGTGGGAGACCAAGGCCATGGAACTAGCCAGCAGACGCCCACAACCTCGCAAGAGACTTGCTTTGCGAACCGCTTGGCGAACAGTCTGCAGAAGGAACTGGACAGAGGACCATGACTCCGAAGCCACAGACCCATGAGGAGCGGGAGCGCAAGTTTACCGCTCTGTTTCAGACCGTTCCGGCTGATCGGGAGGGCACGGGCATGGGCAACACCGACAAGGCGCGCGATGAGGCCTTTGCGGGGCTGACGTTTGACAAGCTGCCGGAGAATCCGCCGGAGTACGAGATTTCCGAGCCGCCCGTGCCCAAGGCGGAGCACGCCAGCCTCATGGAGGACCCCAGCGAGCTGCGCAAGGTCGGTGATGTGCTGCTTTCCGCCTCGGAAACTCAATTCGCGCCGCACGGTGAGCGCGCCCCAACTGCGGCCGCCGCCGCCTCAGAGCGCGCCGCCCTCTTGCCGGAGCGTTCGTCTTGGCGGCGCCCCCTTCTCTGACACAGCCCCATGCCTGGTGTTCGTTCCAGGAAACGCCAGCGGCCCCCCTGCAGCTCGATGAGAAGCACAAGAAGTTTTACGCCCTGTTTGGACACGTCACGGATGCGCAAGCCGCTGAATACGGGGGGCAGGCGTTCGCCCCGGACAAAGATGTTGATTTCGATGCGCTGCCTGAAAGGCACGAGGACCCGGAGCTGCCAGACGTGTCCAAGCAACCCGAGAGGGATTTCCTCAGGGAGGACGCTGAGGAAAGGCTGCGCTACGCTCACCCTGAGGAAAAGCACTCGGAGAAATACGACAAGGCGCACGAAGGCTTTGTCAAGATATTCAAGTGCGTCTTTGCACGGCATCATGGGCAGCTTTGGGGCGTTGATGCGGGCGGGTGTTGCGGAACGTGGCTTGCCTTTGGTCTGAGCGGATTCTCTTTCTTGGCGCCGCAATCGTCACGATGTTCGTGCCTCCTTGCGGAACCTTGACGTTGCTGCCTCCTTGCTTCCGAAAGTCGGCTGACATGCCACGTGCTCGTCTGAAAACCGTCCTTCGACCTCTGGGCAATGCATTTGAGAGCAAGACAAGTCGAAGCGCCTGCGCTTGTGTGACCTGTCTACCAATGGAGCCCTGTACTAGCACATGCCGTTTCAACAGTTGCGCTCTATCTTAGGACCTTGGAATGTCAGCTTTCCTCTGCACACAGCAACAACGATTTCACTGACGCCTGCGTTTGTTCCTTCTGTACCAGGAACCCAGTTGAAGCGGAGTGAACCTAGCTGACAGCGACGACCCCCAAGACAATGTTTCGTGTCACAAACATTCCAAGGGGGCAATAATCAAGTACATCTGGAGAGTTCATTCGCCCACTGCGCATCACCTGTGAAGAGATGGCCTTGCGAACTGCAGAGCCGGTGGCGCACCTAGTCGCCAATCGTCTGTGTCCCTGCATGGCTGCAAGGATAGACGCCCACATCATGTTTTGATATCAACATCCACGGCAGTTGTGACTTCGGCATGAATACCTGCACACCTTTCATCGCGCTTGGCCCTTCAGCTGCTGTTGTTCCTTCTGCCCCTTCCACCTTAGTTTGTGGAAGGTTTGATTTTGGGACTTGTCTTGCTAAGTTCCCGATTTTGATGTACAAAGTGGATTTTTTGCTAATTTTGGGCTCTCGAGGGCGAATGGAGTGGCTCATTGGCATTTGAACAGACGAGGTGATGTAATGTAATTCTTGTGGAGACTTTTTTTCTTGTCGATGTTGTCTAAGATTGATGCTTGAGATGTTTCTACCAGCTTGGGAACCAAAGCCATGCCACTTCCAACCAAGTCGGGTGCACAAGCAACACCACAGCGACACTTTGTCAAAAGGCTCCCACACAGCGACCAATACGAAGCCTACCCTGGGAGTTTTGGGCGTTATCCTGGCTTTGGCCAAACCAGATATTTAGTGGCGATTAAGCTGCCACATGCTATATGAGAGATGGTGACCTTGATTCCACAATCAATGTGCGAGCGCGTCACCTAGGCTGGCTGCACCTGCCGTCTGGGTGCGGGAAGTTAAGATCGAGCCGGTGGAGGATGTTGACTGTTCGTGCACACTGTGTGGCTTACCAGGTGGCCCAGGCGCTGAAACCGAGTGGCAAAAGCCTCGTGTCCTCTCCCCGTTCAACTGCTGCCAGCTATCCAAACAAGCGGCATTGGCGAGGCGTGGAGGACGTGCTCCTTTGCCCACTTGCGTTGCGATTCAGTACATAAGACACAAGGTAGGCTGGGCCAGCGCGGCAATCGGCGCATGCAAGGAAGGGTTGTGCCAGCGAGAATTGCGGCAGGCCTGCGTGGGCTACTGTGCTGGGAGGATTCCATTTTCTTCTTGTGGCACAGCGAGTAAGATTTCGATGTCAAGGCGCCGTTTGGGTCCCATCCGACCATTCTTGTCAATGTTGATAGCTCTTGGCCACATTCGGGGACGACATCAACACGTCTAAAGTGATGATACTATGCCGTCTTGGCGGTGCGCGGCAGCTCAAATGTGCCAGAAGCCAGGGGACTCGTCCGTGCCAGCTGTATCCAAACCTTGCTCCCTCGGAATTTCCGGTCGAAGCGCTGCAGTGAAAATGTAGTCAGACCTGTTGAAGTTTGCACATCTTGCCCAACGCAAGTGGCACTCGCATTGGGGTTGATTTGCAGGCTCATTGAGCAGAAAAGAATCAACAGACAAACGCCACAGTGAACTGCCTCTGAACGAAGCGTAGGGACAAACAAATCCGAAATGTAATCACCATGGCCTGTTGCCCTGCTGTTGTGATGGCCCCTACATAAATGACAGACTTTTCGCTGCCAAACCAATCGGAAAGCGACAGAGTCCATGTCCAACAATTGTCATCGGCTCAGTTTATGACGCAATGAAAATGTGCGTCACCGCCATTCTTAATCCAGCAGTTCTTCAGGATAATTGGGAAAGATGCACTGCTGCACAGGCATCGAGTGCTCAGATATAAACATTCACACATTCTACACCCCCGTTCTCACGAGATCATGAATGCAGGGGCAGTTTCCCCAAAACCACAAAATACTCCTATTCACTTGCCCCGGCTCTCTCGCAAATTTACACCGCTTTTCCTCTCACTATTGAAATTCTACCCGGAATTCAGCAAATTCGCTGCACGTTTCTGAACCTAACGGAGCCCACAGACTGGCAAAAATAATATTGCATCCCAGTATCCATGCTCCGCCCATAATCGCTCACACGAACTTAAACAACGCAATCAAAACCTGCATTCCTTTAATCTTCTGCATGCTCACGTCACGTCACGACATCTTGAATGAGTCGACAATGAACCCCAAATTCCCTATACCAAGCCTGTGTTCGGCAAACAGCAACCTCCTGGCACTCGCCGCCACCTCTTCTGCACTGCTCACAGTATCTGGGCATGATGAGCGTTGTCAAGCTGTTGTTCTTGTAGCTGCTGAATCCCCGTCAGTGGAGGAGCCAGTTCCATCCGACAGGGAGCATCCAAACTGCACATCCAGAGGCAAGATGTCAATGGTAACTACTACTCTACCACAATGCCCACGCCGTGCTGTTCAATGTCTACCAGGGGGCAATGTCAGGCAATGTCGCAAGGCGCTTTCAAACCAGGACATTTAATTCGTACGGAGTAATGGAGATGGCATGATTGTGTCGTTCTTTTCACCTCTTCTCTTATCTTCTTGATCTTTTCCCTGTTCGCTTGCACTAGCATGTCGTAGTTGGTAAAACTGAAACCCCTGAAATCGTTTTGCAGAGGGAGCGCATCTGGGCTGCCATTGCAATCTGTGGGCACACAATCTTGTGAAAATGATGCGTTTCGACTTGTGGTTTCTTTCTCACAACCGAGCGTCGTGCGTGCACCACGGAACCACAGTTTCCACCCGCAAGAATCCCTTATAGATAGGCAGCGTTAATGGGCATAGCCGAGAATGACCCAAACCAAGATCGCTACTCACAACGCTCAACTATGGATCGGTTTCCAATTATGCACATTTGCGTGACAATTTGGATATTTTGTTCCCATGCGCAATGTTTTCATGCATCGAGTGCACCCCATCGGCATGTAGATGTGAGGTTCATTCGCATCATGGAGTTTAGGAGTGGCAGCCGAACTCACGACTGTGGGACGGCCGTCCGTTTGACAAAATCGTCGCCTCTTCTTGCGAGGTTGAGGAGGCCGCTGCGCTGAGGGCGCTTGAGGAGGTGGGGAGCTGCCGATCATGCAGCGTGGCGGCTGAGCATGAGACCCATATGGGGGTAAAGGCACTCGTGCCCAAAGCAAATATGCGTAGTTGTCCATGCACACGTGGGCGTGTGTCTACCTACGTGTAATTCTGCAGAATACGTGAACGCAGGGAATGGCTATTGAAACATACGCAACAAATTTGTGCACAATAGAGCAGCATGCTGCTATGTGCATTCAATGCAAGCAGGTTTGTCGTCTTTGGAGTATTGGAATCTATTTCAAAAGCTAGTCGTCGGACTGGTGCCCCCTATTGAAAGGTCAAAGGCCCTTCCACCCTCAAATGCAACAACGTTGTGCTTTGCGTTCAAGCCGCACGCTGGGGAAACAGCGTGATATGAATTTGATGAACATTACTGATGAAACTGTTGCGCCCATATGCCTAGAATGCCAGGGATCACACATTTCTACCGTGTAAAGATTGATGTCTTGAAGGCTGCAAATCCAACGGGAGCGTACGCCTCTCAATGAGCTCATATTGCCTCGAGACAGCTTTCCAAAATGTGTGCTTGTGGGTGTTGTGCTACGACCCGGCGTGTTGCCTTAACGAGGGTGACAATGCAATACTATTTTGGTCATATCAAACACATGCAGGCGCTCACCCAGAAGAAACGTGTGCAGCTATTGTATAAGAATCCACACATCCGTATAGATCTGAAACGAAACTGACCAGATATCAGCTGGCAGCTTGCCATCCAATCAACGTCTTTTCCCATCACCTCGAAATCTGCTTTGCCCTGATTCCAAGCTAGACATTTGAGGCGATGGCGTGATTTGGCTGCAGGTGCCGCTCCCAGGTTGCGGTCCAAAGAACGTCCCTGATGACGTTTCAAACTCGGAGCCATCCAGCTCCATGGAATGCTGAGATACCGGTTGTGACACGAAATATGAGGTGTCCGTTGCGCTGTCCACTCTGCCACACAAATTCCCACAATTGTAAGCCGCGTTGTCATAAATTGTTCAGTGGACAACGAAAATAATGGTTTGCGAAATGGCTGAATCTCGCAATTTGTTTCCGCATTTCAATTGCACCTCTGTATAAGCGACCTCCTTGAGATGCTTTCAGATTTTCGCATCCATCATCTGTTTTATTCTCCTGAAGAATCTTTGGCGCGGTTTCACACACAAGAGCCCCCTCAGTTGCGTTCAGGATGCTTGCGTTGCGCCAAATGATCTGGACCGAAGACTTTTGATTGCTTGCCTGGGAACAAATGCAGCGTCTGATTCTCGGTTCTGGATCGCATCCCAGTTCACTGCTTTGAAAAAGGAATGCTTCTTCACTTCCCACGCCCCGTTGTGGCCCAGGCGCAATTTGGGGTCAAGGGTCAGAAGTCTATCGATGAGGTCTCTGCATTCAGGCGAAACATGTCTTTCTGAGGGCCAGTTTATCCGCCTGCACGAGCACGCGGAACTCGGTGGCATGAGCCTTCTGCCTTCGCATGTGCACTGGCAACTTGGGGAGTTTTGATGGACAGCAGCAACGTGAAGTACACTGTTGTCCGTGTGTATCAATGTGTGCGCGTCACATTGACCTTGCACGAGTAGCGTATGCGCTTAGTTGGATCAAAGGCACTGGGTTGCATTTGTTATAAGAGTAACACCGCAACTTCTGGAATCGATGATATTTAGAACTCTGCAAAAGGTCGATGCCATTTTGTGCTTCAACTCGACCAATGCATCGGATATCCACGCTATGTTCTTTGATCACCTTGCCAATATGTTCTCGAATATACCCTCTTGTGTCGGTGCAGTGAATGGAGGTACCCCAGTGACGAATTCATACATTATGGCCCCAAGAGACCACCAGTCAACCTCTCTTCCATGTTCTCTTCCTAGCAAGAGTTCGGGGGCCATGTAGTCCGGTGTTCCCACAGCTCTGTGGCTTTCAGTGGGCTGCAATAAAATGGGAAAGTTGTATCGTGCATCACCGCCCTCACGGAAATCCCCCCCCGAACCTGTTAAACAAAGAAAGCTGTTGGACAATGTTGCAGCCACG